CGAATATAACCAAGCAGACAAGTGAATTAAATTGGTAAAAGCACCCGGGCTGCTGCTGATGATTAAATATGAAATTGTTATGCTGTCTACGGATGGTTGAAGTGGACAACTACTGAGCCTACAAGTGAAGTATATCACTGAACATGCCTGGGTTGCATCCGTATCATTTCAGTCTGGGTGTAATATTACCGAGCAGACAAGATAACACAACTGATGAGGGTTGTTCCCCGAGCTCGGAGCCATTCATACACCAATGCCGAATAGACAAGTTAGTTATAACTTTCACACCATCCGCCTGATGCTCCCTCTCAATGCCATCATTGTTGACCGACAATTACTAAATCAGGCACTAGTTTCTCCAATAGGTGTAATCCCGCCCCCATTCCACCCACCAGTCATGAGTATAGTATTTCCACTGTTACTGGACTATTTCTCTCCAAAAAAGTTCCTAATCATATCTTGGTCATGTTTAATATATATGGTGTGAGGTTCACTTAAGGCTGGGGTAGCTAGTAGGTTGTTCAAAGAGTATTGATCAGCTAAGGAAGGCAGGATGTTTTAAATATCTGTTTTGGTAGATACAGAGATATGGCTGGAATGTTAGTGACTATCCATGTACCATTGTCCTGCTCCATATATAATCTTCTGAAATCATTATCTTGTCTTGTCAATCTCTGTAATTCCTTTAAAACTTCTTTCTAGCTATCCCATCCCTACCTCCAACCCACTTTTGACTCTCATTGGTGAAACGGTGGTGATGTAACTAATGGATACAATGTATTCATCCCTCCTCTCCATGCACCATTTACCAGGTAAGTTGCTCCAATTAGAACCTTATATCTTCATGTTGTGCAAATAATAATTGAACATATTCCTCTGGAACTTCCATGGGATTTATATGTCTTCTGGGCATGTTGTGCAATACAGATACTCAGAACCCCAAATGGCTATTCTGAGCTACCACAAATTAAGCATATATAATATACACTGTATTCTTTCTGCTTTGGGGAGGCTACAGTAAAGGTATACATACCATGGGGAACATTGAGGGAGATGCATGTCAACTACACTACTATAGGTTCTTGTTTTGAGTATGTCATAGACTACATCAAGATATAATTAGCAGGGTTTTTGGAGAGAAGTGGCCAGTAATGGTTGAGATATAATGCTGATGACAGGAGGGCAGGATGGCAGGATGGAAGGATGGGAGGATGATGGGATGGTGGGATGGTGGGATGGTGGGAGAATCCACTCACTTGCCACTTTGCAGCCAGACATGGCATTAGCTGAAGGACTTCACCAATTGAATATCAAATCGGTTCTATTATCTGATGTGCAACCTGGGCATTTCTACCATGTTATTTTTTACCCGGCCTCGGACCAGCCAAAGTATGACAATTTAATATCCGTCACCCGATGTGCAGCCCAGGCACTTTTACCAATTTAATTCACCTGTCTGCTCGGTTATTTTCTACCTGCCCTTGGCACCAGCCAAGGTACCTCAACAATTCAATATTAAATTGGCTCTATTATCTGATGTGCAGCCCAGGCACTTTTATCAATTTAATTCAGTTGTCTGCTCAGTTGTTTTCCATCCAGCCAAAGCACTTCAACAATTTAATACTAAACAGGTTCTGTTATCTGAGATGCAGCCCGGCATTGTTACTGATTTAATTCACTTGTCTGCTTGGTTATTTTTCACCCAGCCTCGGCACCAGCCAAAGTACTTCACCAATTTAATATTAAATTGGCTCTATTATCTGAGACGCAGCCCGAGCACTTTTACTGATTTAATTCACTTGTCTGCTCGGTTATTTTCCACTTGGCCTCGGCACCAGTTAAAGTATTTCACCAATTGAATATTAAATCGGCTCTATTACCCGAGACGCAGCCCAGGCATTGTTACCAATTTAATTCACTTGTCTGCTCGGTCATCTTTCACCTGGCCTCGGCACCAGCCAAAGTACTTCACCAATTTAATATTAAATTGGCTCTATTATCCAAGATGCAGCCCGGGCACTTTTACCGATTTAATTCACTTGTCTGCTTGGTTATTTTCCACTCGGCCTTAGCACCAGTTAAAGTACTTCACCAATTTAATATTAAATCGGCTCTATTACCCGAGACGTAACCTGGGCACTTTTACCGATTTAATTCACTTGTCTGCTGGTCATTTTTCACCCAGCCTCGGCACCAGCCAAAGTACTTCACCAATTTAATATTAAATTGGCTCTATTATCCAAGATGCAGTCCGGGCACTTTTACCGATTTAATTCACTTGTCTGCTCGGTTATTTTCCACCCGGCCTCGGCACCAGTTAAAGTACTTCACCAATTTAATATTAAATCGGCTCTATTACTTGAGACATAGCCTGGGCACTTTTACCGATTTGATTCACTTGTCTGCTCGGTCATTTTCCACCCGGCCTCGGCACCAGCCAAAGTACGTCACCACTTTAATATTAAATTGGCTCTATTATCCAAGATGCAGTCCGGGCACTTTTACCGATTTAATTCACTTGTCTGCTCGGTTATTTTCCACCCGGCCTCGGCACCAGTTAAAGTACTTCACCAATTTAATATTAAATCGGCTCTATTACCCGAGACATAGCCTGGGCACTTTTACCGATTTGATTCACTTGTCTGCTCGGTCATTTTCCACCCGGCCTCGGCACCAGCCAAAGTACGTCACCAATTTAATATTAAATAATCTCTATTATTCAAGATGCAGCCCGGCCACTCTTACTGATTTAATTCACTTGTCTGCTCGGTTATTTTCCACCCGGCCTCGGCACCACTTAAAGTACCTCACCAATATATTATTAAATCGGCTCTATTACCTGAGACACAGCCCGGGCACTTTTGCCAATTTAATTCACTTGTCTGCTCGGTCATTTTCCACCCGGCCTCGGCACCAGCCAAAGTACGTCACCAATTTAATATTAAATAATCTCTATTATTCAAGATGCAGCCCGGCCACTCTTACTGATTTAATTCACTTGTCTGCTCGGTTATTTTCCCCGGCCTCGGCACCACTTAAAGTACTTCACCAATTTATTATTAAATCGGCTCTATTACCTGAGACACAGCCCGGGCACTTTTGCCAATTTAATTCACTTGTCTGCTCGGTTATTTTCCCGGCCTCGGCACCAGCCAAAGTACTTCACCAATTTAATATTGAATCGGCTCTATTACCTGAGACACAGCCCGAGCACTTTTGCCAATTTAATTCACTTGTCTGCTCGGTTGTTTTCCACCCAGCCAAAATACTTCAACAATTTAATATTCAACAGGTTCTATTATGCGAGATGCAGCCCGGGCATTGTTACCAATTTAATTCACTTGTCTGCTCCGTTATTTTTCACCCAGCCTCAGCACTAGCTAAAGTACTTCAACAATTTAAAATTAAATCGGTTCTATTATCCGAGATGCAGCCCAGGCACTTTTACCGATTTGATTCACTTCTCTGCTCAGTTATTTTCCACCCAGTCTCGGCACCAGCCAAAGTACTTCAACAATTTAAAATGAAATTGGCACTGTTATCCAACGTCCAGCCCAGGCATTTAATTCACCTGTTTGCTCAGTGATCATTTACTCGACGACAGCAACAGCTGGATGACTTCAACAAATTACTTTGATCACCTGCACCACCCAATGTGCAGCCTGGCCGTATTTATTGATTTAATTCACTTGTCTGCTGGGTTATTTTGCATCTGGACAGGGCACAAGCTAAAGTTCTTCAACAATTTAATATTAAATCATCTGTGCAAGTCACTTTTCCTGTAAACACACCACATGTTGGACATTTCGACCAGGCATGGAAGCCCGGGTCTGGCTCAAATAACCTTGCTCGGCTGCATAAAATGCAAGCCGAGCAGAAAACATATACTAGTCCATATTGAAAAGGGCAGGCTGGCTCAAAGATCAGCTGATCCCATGTTTATAAATTGTCAGTTTTCATGGCCGACCAGTAGCAGTATCCATTTGCTGGACTGATCAGCCAAGCCATGACTACAATAATGTGGGTCCCACCAGCTGACTCTGCTAATCAAAATTTAAGACCCTCGGCCGATCACCAACCCAGGAACATTCAAATCTGTCAACTGATCCTGCATAGCTATCTTCCATAAGCCGATATACAAATAGTTGTTCTTTGCTCTCCAGGTGTAATTCCTGCTGATCCAGCTGTGCTAAATCTACATCACCAGCCGACCCTTCATTACCTTATTCATGGGACTGCATCGGCCAATTCATCAACACCAGGTTATTGTCTCTTATCGGCCCATCAGCAGGCACCATCAACTATGGCCTGTTTGTATGTTCGGGGCTCTCAGTGTTGGTGGGTGATTCCTACTAACTGCCCTGCATGATTGCCAAACAGATATTGTTTGTTAACCATCTCAAATAAACAAATTGCAGTGGAATTCTGCTCCTGCACATTCTGGGGAACCCTATTCCTGCCCATTCCGGGGAAGACCATTCTGGTGTAAATTCCAGAATAATCAGATTCCACTGGAATGGGAAAACACAGGAATGACAAATTTAGCAGGGCTTACTGCTAAATTTCATTCCACCGGAATCCACAGGAATCCACCAGAATTCCACTGGAATGACTGGAATCCTGCAGGAATAGGGGGGCACTGATAAGACCTCTAAATTTCAACTCATCCAAGCAATTGATTTCGGACTTTGGTAAGTAGCACAATGAACAAAACCTTGTTGCTGAATGACCTGCACAGCCAGTGACTTTGCGAGACCCAGGGAGGTTGTTTACACTGGGGATAATTGCCTCTCATGAACGTCAACCTTCTGGATGCTCATATGTTCTAGAAAACCAGGTCCCTTGTTGGTAACTGTGGTCAAGTATATCAACCATGGGAGCAATGAATGGATTGAGCCCATCAAGACTTGGTTGTTTGGGTCCCGGGATGGCACCTGCGAAGAATATATTTTCAGGCCATTGTCGGATGCTTGACGGTAAGCTGATGCACTCCATTGCTATTGACCTGATGGATGCTGATTTCTCTGCAGCCTTGTTGTGGTATGGGTTGAAGGCATCATGACTGAAACTCCAAATGGTGTGTAGTTCGTCCTCACAATCAACGAATATTTTGCCGTCAGGCCCTCAGAACTGATGGATGGCTGAGGCTTGATTGATATCCCATACATCAACAGACTCTTTGATGTGTTGCTTGGTTCGGCGAATCATTTCTTCGATCCCAGGACAGCAATAGAGCTTGCCAACAAAATTGGTGAAGCTCTGCAGAATGAATGGCCTTATGGGCACCCATATGCTAAAGCCATTTTGAACCCCAAACTTTGTGATACGGGCACCGCATGGGTGACTAGTTGGGTAGCATTTGAAATTGCATCATGGAGGATATACTTGATGCCCATCCTTTTCAACTGGCGCATATAGGAAAGAGCAAGCAGGGCATGTAGCGTAAGTCGTTGTAACAGGGTCTAAGTCAAATTTTTGATGTGCAGTGCAAATATCTTCAGGTATGTTTTCCCAAGTCACACTTGGTGCAACCAATTGAAGCATATGTTTCATGAGGTGTAACACCAAATTACAAGGTGATCTGCTGACATTGGCAATCACGCTCAGTGCAACGGCAATGAACATCGTAATGATGAGAGCAGGGTTGGCCTTTCGGAGAGGATGGTTAAAGTACTGATCTGACAAGAGGTGAGATACAATGGCCCATTGAATTGCAAGGACCTTACCTGTGTTGTAATAGTCGGTGGTGCTGGCTTGATGTTCGTCAAGCTCTTTCCATGCATTAAGCCATTGTTCAATCTGTTGAGAAATGGAATCTACATGCTCAATCATGATATGGATGAAGTTCGCATTTATCTCATCTCCACATGAGGGGGTCTGGCTCAAGTGAACCGCTATGCCACCTACCCAAGCTTTTTCTCTGCTCAAGAAGGTGGTGGCCTCACGCCTCTCCCAGAAGCGTGCCTCCTTTGGTTTCAGGGCTAACCCGGCTTCATCCCATTCAGCCAATACAGCCATGATTTCAATCTCATGTTAATTGATTGATCCATCGGTGGTGAACAATGCCCCATATGCATCCTTGACCTTCTTGGAACAGGTCTCCGTCTTGGAATTATCTAGAGATGAAAGGGATGCAGAGTTGGGCAATGGAATTGAATTGCAGATGGTCATCTTGACAATTTCCTTCTCGATTTCCTGTAAGGCAAGTTCCTCAGATCACTCCTGATGCAAAGTAAACTCCTCAGCTGATATTGCTTTCCTGTCGCATCAAAAAGCTGCACAGTAGCACATTCGCAATCGCTTTCCTTCTGGTCTCCTACCATGGCTGGAGGTTGTGCATGATTTTACTTGTGAAAATGAGGACGATGGGATAAGCTGCATGATAGATTTTGCTAGACAATTACTTGGTTGGTAAAGAGTATATAAGCATGTGCGATCCCTTGTATTCTGCTCTTGTATCCAGAAACCTTCATTTCGTGTTGTACGATTTCTATGTATCTTTGTCATTGTATTTTCCAGTTACTATATCCCTTTTCGGCACAATACATTATAATGTATATTAGTCTGTATTGCAAGAATGTATGTACATTCAATTCTGCTATGACAACTCCACTCCGCTCTCTCGCTCTCCATATTATCTTTGGCGAAGAAAAACTGAAGCCATTGACCCAACTTATATTGCGCTGAACATGGCCACTGGAGTCACCTTCATTGAAGCTGGTTCTGTCTTCGCTAATCTCTAACAAGATCGCCAAGCTGCATGGCGAAGTTGGTCACCCTGGATGGAACAGCTACTCACTGTCAGTGGTATTAGGTTGGAACAGGGAAGATTACCAGAAGATTCAGGTGTGTCGGTAGTTGTGGAGCTCTCATCACACTGTGCCTCATTTTTGAAGGCCAGTGTATGAGCTGAGGTCAATAGCACTCTGGAAAGAGGGCTCCCATTTAATAAACAAGATCCCAAGAAACTCGTGGCGATCTGCATCAAGGTAGACTTCGCACTCATCATTGCTGAATCTACCCTTCTTCATGATACTTCAGTTAAAGGAACAATTCCCTATTCTCAATGGATATCTGGAAGATTGGGTAGTGTTTGACTTCATCTGTGGTTGTCTCTGAAATGCCACCTGATATCGGCCTAATCAATTTGCGGTTTGAGTACATATATACATAGCATGTGGTCCTTGCCTACTAAATTGTACATAGCGCATAGTAGTCTGTGCCCAATAAATTGTACTGGCCGGTTTATCTGATGTTGTAGGTGTGATAAGCAATTTTGACTTAGTAGATTCAATCAATAGATGTACCAACAATTTGTCCCAGAAATCCCAAAGTCCCAAAGCCATCACCTTAGAGCCGCGGTGAGGGTGACAGGATGTCATCCGCAGGTCCAGGTTTAAGTTGCACTTTGATTGTGTTATACTTAAACTCAAAGAACTCAGCTTTTGAAGAGCAAGGCAAGTGCAGCAAGATATATATATATCTATGTAGCAGGCACAGTTAAGTTAGTCACCTTGGCCCATTAGTAATGGGCCACCCTGCCCTGACAATCCATCAAATGGTAAGGGTCTAGCCAGATGGCCAGTTTGATTACTGGACCCCATTGTCAAAGGGGTGGCTGGACCCTGAACAATCCACCAGTAACTATGTGTGGGCCGTCAGCAACAATGTCCCATACCACTGGAGCGGCTGGGTGTACCTTGAATGTCATAACCCAGTGCAGGGCTGCCCTCCACCGGGGTGTTGGTGACATGCCGGCGGCAATCATCCAGTTGAATACTTAGAATTACAAGTCTGGCTTATATCAATCATGCACAATATTATCAACCTATGTCTGCTGTTTGCTTCAATTTGAGTGGGATCACTCTGCCAGACTAAGCACTGCACATTGCTTCTGAAACACTCCACTGGACTAAGCACCACACATTGCCTCTGCAAAAATGACACATTGGAATGATCTGTTGGAAGAAGCTTCACACATTTAATCTGCAAAAGTATTTGAGTCCACCAGCAAGGCGATTCCTCTGCAAATATTGCTCCACTGGTTATATAATTTTTTTATGGTACACCGCCAGACCAACCACTGCACATTGACTCCGCAAACATAGAAAAAAGATTATAATGAAGTTTGACACATTTACACTGAAAACATATCTAAGTACACAATACCTCCGCAAATATTGCCCCACCAGTGGTGTCATTTTTTATAATATGCTGCCGGGCCAGCCACCGCAAATCGCCTCCGCTTTTATATTGAAAATTTATAATAGTGTGTTAGAATATTTTTGACATGTTTATACTAAAAATATATTTAACTGCAGAATACCTCCGCAAATATTGCTTCGCTGGCGGTGTCATTTTTTATGATACGCCGCCGGACCAGCCACCGCAAATCGCCTCTGCGTTTATATTGAAAATTTATAATAGCCTGTTAGAATATTTACACTAAAAATGTATTTAAGTACAGAATACCTCCGCAAATATTGCTTGGCCGGCGGTGTCATTTTTTTTATGGTACGCCGCCGGACCAGCCACCGCAAATCGCCTCTGCTTTTATATTGAAAATTTATAATAGCCTGTTAGAATATTTACACTAAAAATATATTTAGGTACAGAATACCTCCGCAAATATTGCTTCGCTGGCGGTGTCATTTTTTTTATGGTACACCGCCAGACCAGCCACCACAAATTGCCTCTGTGTTTATATTGAAAATTTATAATAGCCTGTTAGAATATTTACACTAAAAATATATTTAGGTACAGAATACCTCCGCAAATATTGCTTCGCTGGCGGTGTCATTTTCTTATTATACACTGCCAGACCAGCCACCACAAATTGCCTCTGCTTTTATATTGAACATTTATAATAGCCTGTTGGAATATTTTTGAACATGTTCCTATATTTGAGTACACAATACCTCTGCAAATATTGCTCCGCCGGCAGTGTCATTTTTTTATTATACACCACCAGACTAGCCACCACACATTGCCTCTGCTTTTATATCAAAAATTTATAATAGCCTGTCAGAATGTTTTTGACATGGTCATATGTGAGTACACGATACCTCCGCAAATATTGCTTTGCCGGCGGTGTCATTTTTTTATTATATGCTGCCAGATCAGCCACTGCACATTGCCTCCACTTCCATCTTAAAAAATGTAGAAACGTTCTTCCACGCCTGCCCTCAATGTTCTATGCTGGCCCTAAACCCAAACTCACCCTAAAGTGGCCTGGATATATAGCGCTTGAGCGTCGTGTGTTGTTCTTTTCTTTCCTTCTCCACTCCCTCTTCCCTCCACGCTTATAGAGTATTGTAGTATAGTTCTTATGTACACTGCTCGTATTTACAGTAGGTATGCCATAGATATAATCATACGTACTTTTGTATTACTTAGTTTGAATGTGAATATTTCATGCGTCATCACAAATAAACAAAGAAAAGTTGCCCCTCGCGTCCAATACTTTACCATCCCCCACGCAATCCACATGGACTCCACTGGATTCCACTGGACTCCACTGGACTCCCCTACATACTGGACCATTATAACAATATTCACAAAACTGGACTCCACTGGACTCCCAACACAAAACTGGACTGGACTGGACTGGACTGGACAAACTGGACTCCACTGGACTTTCCCAACACAAAACTGGACTGGACAAACTGGACTGGACTGGACTGGACTGGACTCCACTGGATTGCCAGAACTTAAGCTTGAAGACACTTAGATTTCAAAAAAAAAAAAAAAAAACTGAAGTATATTTAATAACTACATAAATTAATATTACTACATTCTCAGGGGGAGGGAGTGGGAGGGGGAGGTGGTGTTCAAGAAGGGAAAGGAAGGGGGGAGGGAGAGGGAAGGGGGAGGGAGGAAGGGGGGAGAGAGGAATGGAGGGATGGGAGGAAGGGAGGGGGCAATGAATGGTGAGTAATGGAGGGGGAAGAGGATGGACTGATAGAGGGTGAAGGGAATGGACTGATAGAGGGGGTGGGAGTGGTGGTGCCGAGTCCTCATCGCTGTTGACACGTCATCATGTTGTGTTGTTGTTCTCGTGTGTCGTCGTCCTGGGCCCTCGTCGGCGTTCCGCGTTGGCGAGCCGTCGGCGCTGGTGGTTTTTCGTGGGCACCTGTCGTGTTTCGGGTGTGGCGGGGGTGGGCGCTCGTTGTTTTCCGTGGCGTCATTTTTCGTGGGTGCTTGTGGTGTTTCGTGTGTGGTCAGGGTGGGTGCTTGTGTGGATGTGTCATCGTGTCGTGTCGTCGTCCTGGCATGTCGCGTTGTCATCCTGGCGTGTCGGTTGTCATCCTGGCGTGTCGTGTCGTCGTCCTGGCATGTCATTGACACGTCATCGTCGTGTCAGTGGGTGGTGGTGGGTCGTGGTGGTGGGCGCTCGTCGTTTTTCATGGGTGCTCGTCGCTGTTCGTGGGTGCTCATTGTCGTTCGTGTGTGGTGGGGGTGGGCCCTTGTCGATTTTCATGTGTGGTGGGAGGTGGGTGCTCGTCGCAGTTCGTTGACGGTGGTGGGCCCTCATCATTTGCCGTGATGTGGGTTGCTGTTGCGTGGGGTCGTTGGCGCCTGTCGTGGTGAGAACGGAGGGATGGGGTGGGGCACACGTACCGTTGGCCCGTGATGTGGCAACGTCATGGGCGCTGGCCCTCGTTCTGCATTCTCTTGTTGTCGTGTTTCTTGTGCGTTGGTGGGGATCGTCGGCGTGGGCGTCGCTGGCTTCGCAGGTTGTTGAGGTGACATGGCGGTGAGGGGGTGGTCGATGTCGGTGGTGGTGGTGGAAGGAAAGGGAATGGGATGGTCACGGAAGTGTGACCACGCCACAAACAGGAGACGTGACGATATGGGACACCCTCAAGTAAGTCATGTGACTTCACCCTGCAGACTGAACAAAATCATGAATCCTTATTGCAGCTATCACTTACCTATACTAATATGTAAATCATTACCCTTCTATTCATATTTGTATTTGATCAATAAAATTAGAAGTCTGGCTTGTTCATTGTCTAGTCTATTTTCGCTTTTTGTAGTATTCATAATTAATAAGTAATAAGCAATAATGCACTGGAATCACTTGAATCCACTGGACTCCAGTGGAATCCAGTGGACTATGACTGGACTTGTAGTCCACTGGACTGGGACTGGACTCAGGAAAGTGGCTTGTAGTCCAGTGAGAGTCCAGTGGACTGGACTGGACTGGACTGGACTTGAGTCCAGTGGACTGGGCATTGTGCAAGCCAACTTGGCCTAGCAACTGGGCCACTGGAATCCACTGGACTCCACTGGACTCCACTGGAATCCACATGGATTATGTGGGGGATGGTAAAGACCTCCCTCGCGTCTGTTACATGGTAAATTGTTCATCGTTGATAAAAATAAATACATTAGATATACTAATGAAGAGATATGGAGGTATGCCTTTGGCTGCGTATGTCAATGTGTTTAAACTGATAGCGTCTATTCAGCCCATGACTCAATGCCGCCAGTCGTGTTCGCCAAACACTGTGCTCACGTGATATGTGGCAACTGGCCCTAAAGTGAACCGAAGATAAACAGGCTGCAAACCATTTTCAAACTTCTTTCCAACTTCCATGTTCCATCCTAGTAGTTTGTAGAGTACATACCCAGTAGAAACAGTTGTGCGTCGCTAGTGAATTTCCAATGACTATAAAAGTAATACAAATTTTAGGAAAGCCGAAATCATGCAATCGGAATACAGTGAGAGAGTAATGAAACATAGAAAACTCAAGGCAAGTTCTCTCAATTCTTGTGAGCTTTCGTAACAAGCTAATCACGCTATAGTCACCAGAAGTCCTTCGGTTTTTGGATCTTGAAGCTCAGGTATCCAAGGTGGAAACAGATGATCAGATTGGCAGCGATGAAGGTATGTATCATACATTGTAATTGTTTTTAGTACAGTGCTAATTTTTTCCAAGGTGATCTAATCGACAACGACGAAGACATTGACGAGTCAAATTCGGGAGATGCACACCGGAACCTTCTCCGTGAAGTGATGATGCCCTCCGATGATGACGCATTCTGGGAAAGCTTTCTCGAGTGTGTCACGGCTTATCAACATAATGTGGAAGAAGACGTTCAAGATATTGGAAAGGGAGGTCTTTACCTTCCCTGGGTTATTCCATATGGAATCCATGGAGTATTCCATATGGACTCCATGGAATCAGCTTTGGCTGGGTCCTCAGCTTATTTTATATTCCATAGATATGATGGATTCCACTGGACTCCATCTGGAATGAGAGCATATGCACTCTGGACTCCATGGAACAATTCCAGGTGGATTCCATACCCATCATACCATTAGAACACATATAAACAGTACTAGAAAGTATCCTAATAGTATTTATAGTGTCCTTACTATATTATTAGTATAAAAAGAAAATTGCATTGTTCAAGAATTGAACCCAAGACTACAAGAGCGAGACCAACACTTAAGCCAACTGAGCTATAACGGCTTTATTATAAGAAGAATTTAGACGCTATATAACCCCCCTTCGCCATCACCTCACCACGACCACTGCCGACTACGATGACAACCAAACAATGCTGCCTCGTACCTGTGCTGATGACAAAGCCTCACGCAGCGGCCACATATGCGCCCACACGCTGGTCCGCAAACGAGGGCCATCGAACGCAGGCGACCAGGCAAGCAAGTGCCAGCGAAAACACCAAAGCGACCCCGAGTCCGATGAGCCAGCACAGCCCGATGTGGTGATGAGAGGGATGAAGGTGGGGAAGAAAGGAGGGGGGAAGGGTAAGAAAGGGAAGAGAACATGGTACGTACCCCATCCACGTTGATCGCTCACCATCGATAACGCCGATGGTGCCCGATTACAGGAAAACGAGCACCCAGAAAGCGGCGGAGGACGCCAACCAGCCCTCTCCCACCAAACTAACGCCGTAAGCCCCTCCCCCTTCTTTTTTCCCTTACTACTAACATTTTTAGGGCCAAGCGGAAGCTTGTCGAGAGCGGAATGGCTGTTGCCCCCCTGGAACGTGTCCGGGATGCCAGTGCATCCCACATGCCACCCCCGCCTGCTATCGTTAGTGCGAGGCAGTGTTGTCCTGACGACACTGCCTCTGCAAAGGAGCCACGCATGGGTGTTGATGCCCATAGCAACAGCTCCGAAACGAGTGGCGAGGGTGGTAGTGGTGCCAGCAGGAACAGCAGCAATGCCAGCGACGATGACAATGACAGTGCCGCCTCCGACTCACCTGAGGAAGAAGCAACCCACGACAAGGACGACAACGAGAGTGGGGACGACAACGACAACAAAGAGAACGGGGACAACGACAACGACAAAGAGAACGGGGACGACAACGACAACGGGAACACCAATGACAACAACAACAACAACGGGGACGAGCGTAACAACGGGGATGACACCAACAGCGACACCAGCAGCAGCAGCAACAGCAGCAACAATGATGACGGCGACAGCAATGGCAATGCCAGAAACACCAACACCACCAACCTCACCCATGTCAACACCAATGCCGCCCATGCCAACGACATGATTGCCCATGCCAGCACCAACGTCGCCTATGCCAGCACCACCCATGCCAACGTCGAACATGCCAATGTCGAACACGCCAACGCCGCCAACGCCAATGCCACCAACGCCAACGTCACCCATGCCAACGCCATCACTGCCCATGCCGTCCATGTACGTGTGAACCCAGCAACCCCTCAACGTGTCCGAGGCAGTGAAACTTTGACCACTGACCTCGGAACTCAGTTGGGTATATCAGTTTATTTTCACCTTATAAACTATTTTATATATATGTGTATTAGTTATGATGGATGGGCTTGATCCTCTTCGTGATCAAGGTAATTTACACTTTGTGTTTTGAATCTTTAAATTTACAACATGCTGCAGATGTTGATATGGATGTTGAAGGGAGTCCCCCAGCTCTAGGCTCTTCACGTACAATGGGGGGTATTTTGCGTGGAAAGGCATTGGGAAATGCCTTAAATCATGCAGATTTTCCCAGACTAGACTCAGGCGACCATTTCTTTGCAGAAAGTGCTCAAGTGAACTACAAAGTGTTTGCTTATCTGGTATACAGTGACCCAGTCAAACTGAGTGTCATTCCTGATCCCTCCCTTCCTGCCAACACAATTTTTCATGTCTTAACCATTCCTCCTCTTGAATCTGCAGTTGTTCTAAAGAAAGTTGCTAATCGGCTTGAGAGTGTCAAAGGTATGTAAAAGAAATATTCCACATTTGATATAACTGATTATTTTTGAAGAGGGTCATGTTTTTGTGCAATCGAACCTGTCTGGTGCTTGGCAGTGGAATTTATTAGGTCGCTATGAGCATGCTTTGGCAGATAACGAAAGTCTTGAATCCAATGAAAATGATGAATGCCACATTCTATTTGTAAGTCTCATTATTATCATCTGTTCTTTGCATTTTCTCAATTTATTTCTATTTCTATATTTCTCAAGTGTCTTCCAATCAGCTATCCCTTTTCTACAGGTTCTTCTTACCCCCCTTCGACTCATGTTTCTGGTCCATCGTCTCACTATGCCTTATCTGAATCTCGGTCCTGAGTCTATGTCTTGTCATGCATTTTCTGAGTCTCATTCTCGTTCTCGTCCTGATTCTCCTATGGATGTCTCTGCACCATCTGGTTCTAAATGTAGTATTGATGAGAATCTGCTCGGTAGACTCAAAGCAGCTGGGCTGACAGTTAATGAGTCACTTTGCTATGACACAAACCCCACTCTCCAAGTTATGTATCAACGCTACACCCACATCTATGAGCTTCAGGGAAAAATCAATGATATGGTTGCTGAACACAAGTGGAAGGCTCAGTTTGGAAAGTATCCAAACAAAACTGAAGTTATTGGACTTTTTGTGGCGAAGACAACCTGGCATAATTCCTATGCCAAAGTCTTCCCCATGGTGGAGGGTTATGAAGACATGGTAGCTTGGTTGGAGGGTGATCCTGATGCCAAATCAGACCTTGATCTTTGGGGTGTCACAAAGTCTAAATACTCTATCACAGACTTGGTAGAATGGCTCAAGAAGCAGAAAGGCAAGAAAGTAGGCAAGTCAGTGACGAAATCCACTGCCAAATCTCCAAAGGGTCTAAAGGAGAAGGAAAAGATTCAAGGGTCTCAGTCAGGGGCTGGGGCTGGGGCTGGCAAAGGAAATCAGAAAGGAGTGAAGCAGAAAGAAGTAGAGTCTGAGCAGGCTGATAACAGGAAGAAGAGTCATAAGAAGAAGAAGGTCACTGCTAGTGGGTAGGTAGAATTTGGACTTTGGACTTGTTTGATTTACTGTTTGATTTTTTGACTTTGGACTTTGGACTTTTGACTTGTTTGATTTACTTGATTGATTTTTCTGTTGTATTTTTTTCAATATGTTGACTGGTGCTCCTTTTTTTTTCAGTGATCAAGTACTCTGGAGGCTTCCAACTCTCATAACTGTTTCAATTTTGCACTTGTTTATGGTTCTACAAATGCTCAGCCCCTTCATGATTCTGCTGTTTTTGTGCCCTGGTGCCAATGCTATGCAAAATCAACAAAAATTTCCAGACATTTCATTCAAAGTGTTCAATGAATTTATTGCACAAAACTTCAGCTCAAAAATCACCCTTGCAACTGTGTTGATGTTATTGTTTACTATGGTTGAAAATACAGATTTATTGAACTTGCACCGACACCAGCAAAATCCCCAACTTTCAGATGAAAATCGGGTTCTTTTGAGCTCATGGATAAAATCATTGGCTTGTGAGGTCAAAAAGCAGACTCCAAAACCAAAACTCAAAACTTTGTTCAAACACTCAGAAAATTGGACATCAATGCCTGAAAATCAAATTATAAGTAACATTGGAACAAAACTTAACAACTTTGCTGATTTATTGGCTCTCAATTCCTATGGGAGTGATGGAAAGCTAATTCAAAGACTGCAGCCAATTACAAAAAAGGAAATTCAGGCTGTTATGATAATTTGCCCACCATCAAATGTTTGTTCTGATATAAAATGTCGAGGCCGTGCCATTTTGCAACATTCAGATCCAAATGAGCTTGCCACAACAACTCTTATTAAAGGTTCTGAAATTTTTAAAGAGGTTGTTGTTCTGAATGGAAAATGTTCTAATTGCAAAACTCACTATTTTGCTGATCATGAAAATTATCCTCAAGTTGGAGGTCCTCGGAGACGGGTATACCTCAATGATGCAAAATATCTGAAACTTGGAAAATCTCTATATGTTGACAGGCCATTTTCAAATGCTGTTGTCAATGGAACATACAGCTTTCATGCATCAGTTGCAGCTTATGCTGAATTCTGGACCAACAGCTATGGAAAAGAAGAGTCACTCAAAATTGAAAGGCGTCAGATTTGGCAGGCATTTGTTCATGAAACAGTTCGTACCATTGCTCAAGCTTCAGGGGTCATATTTGAAACCAATGATAATCCATCAATTGATGATCTCACTCATGATGCATTTGCTATTCTTGGTGAAGGTGGTGCTATGAGGCTGTCTGACAAACATACTTGCTCTGAGTGTACTCAAGAACGCAAGGCAGTTGCAGGTTTTTTACCTGTTGCCAATGATGCAGCAGCTGTTCTTGGTGTTGATGAAAATCAAGCTGTACCTCAATTGGATCCTGCAGCTGCTGAAGAACTGCAAAATTTAGCAGAATCAGATGACCCAATGGATGTTGATACTGGAAACCAACCAGCCATGGTGAACATGGTTGTAATAGATGGCATTGTTATGGGACCAACTCATTGTGCATTTGATAATTGTACAAAACCCCTTACAAATGCTCGTGGAAAGGGAGAATCATTTTGTCAGACCCATGAAAGAGAATTTCGTAATCGTTGTCATGTTAAGGATTGTCAAAATAACAAGATTGATGGAACTCAAGCTTGTCATGAACATCGCAATGACTGGCATTGATATAGACAGTCTCGATCAAAGTCAAGCTCGGCTGGGGTACGACGAATGCTAAATCGACCAAATGGAAATCTTGCCTGGAATCCAGAAGTTCCCAGAAATGCTCAACCTCATGATGAGGATGCTCCTGAAGTAGAAAATGAAAACTATTTCAGTCCAAAGCGCTTTTATTGTGTGGAAACAATTGTTGCACCTTGTGGCATTGTCATTGCATGGGTCAAGTTTGCAAAAGCTGAGTCACCAACAAACATACTGAAGTTTATGAAAGATACATTTCCAGATGAAAGTACAAGACCAGATTATATATGCATTGATAAGGCATGTCTGGTTCTTAGAACAAGCATTCAAAATGGAAGCTGGGATGAATGGTGCAAGACTAGCCGACTTATAGTTGATGTATATCATTACATCAATCATCGCACTACAGATATGATCTGCCGAAAATATTGCAACCCTGCTCCTCTTGATGGATCAGCACCTAATTTGGTTATTGAAGCAGAGACAAAAGATGGGGAAAAATATTTGAAACGAGCATTCAATACTCAAGCATGTGAACAATTGAATGGGTGGATTGGAGGATTTGATTCTATTTTGAAAAGGATGACTGTTGACAATTTCAACTGGTTTTTGCATGCAATGTTGTTTTATCATACCCGACATGTTCTTCAGAAGATAAAAAAGAGGGAAGAAAATATGAAACAAGGGGATAATGGTGATGGTGGTGATAGTAATGATGATGATAATGATAGTGATGATAATGTATGATTCTTAGTAGATAAAAGCTCAAATTTTTGTACTATGTCAATCAATACAACAACAGACAATTATAAGTGTAAGATTTTTTATTCTACAAAGTCATTCCATATAGAGTCCACATGGATTCCATGCCAAAAATAGTATAGGATCAGTGGAGAAGGGTGGATTCCATGAACTCACTCCATATGGAAAGTCCATGGAATCCATCCCCCAAAGTCATGGAATCCATCCCCCAAAGTCATGGAATCCATCCCCCAAATGTATGGAATCCATCCCCCAAAACCATGGAATCCATCCTCCCATTCCATGGAATCCATCCCCCAAAAGTATGGAATCCATCCCCCAAAAGTATGGAATCCATCCCCAATCCATGGAATCCATCCTCCCATTCCATGGAATCCATCTGGAATTTGTTCAGTCCACCCCACTTCAGTCACCCATTTTTGGGTACCTATGAGGTACATCAATTCCTTGATTTAAGGTACCTTGGGGGTACCCATTCTGGGGTGGTATATGAGCTCCATACCAATACCATGGTACCAAGGAATGGAAAACCCATACCATACCCCACTCATACCAATACCATGTTACCATACCATACCAATACCATGTCACCATACCATACCAGATGGTATGATGTCACTTCATACCATCATACCAAAGCTGACATAGGGTGTCTGGGGTCCTTTTCCAAAATATATAAATTATTTCTGCAGGCTGCAATACTGGTCCATTGGGTGCCATTTTTTGTGGGGTGGTTCTCCAGGTTTTTTCTGAGATATTAGGCTACAAATTGAGGCCAGATAGTCCAAACCATCTATTGAAAATGAGTTTAAATAGGCTTTATCCCAGCTTTCCCATGCATCCAAAGCCATTTAATGATACATATCTTTCCCAATCCTTTCTATTAAAACAATATTCATCCAAATCAAACAAAACCACATCTATTGTGATGAAGTGGTCATAGAGAAGAAAAGAAAAGTGAAAAGGCTTTCAGGTTTTTGCTAAG